GGCAGGTGGATTTCTGTGAGTTTGAGGCCCTCCTGGTCTACAGAGTGAGTTCCAGGACAGGCTCCAAAGCTACACAGGGAAACCCTGTCTCTAAAACCTAAATAAATAATATGTATTTACTTATTTATTGTCGCTGGGTCTCTGTGGCCCAAAGTAGCCTCCAAGGTACTATTCCCTTTGTAGTCTAGGCTGGCCTGGAACTCATGAAAATCATTCTACCCACCCCCCTCCTGAGACTTGGGGTTACAAACGTATACCCTCGCCTGGCCATCCTCCCCATCTTAGAAATCCAAAACCCTAGGAACCATTCCTAAGCCCCGCCCCACGCCCCCATCTGCGGACCACCGCTGGGCGTGGGCTTGGCCTCCGCAGCATCAGGGCGCGGCCGCCTGGTCCCGCCCCGCCCCTCCTGCTGCTGAGTCAGCGCTCTGCGGCCCCCGCCCGCGGGAGGACGCCCCGGGAGTCCCGGGAGCCCCGAGAAGGCGGGCGAAAGGCGTCACTGGGCCTGCCCTTAGCTCAGGGTTGTGTGTGCGTAGGAGAAGCGGCGGCTGCAAGAGGAGATCGGCGCTGCGCGTCGCGAGCTGGAGGAGGAGAAACTCCGCGTGGAGCGGCTCAAGGTTGGGGACTCCCGTCCATCCCTGGCAGTGAAGTGAGGGTGTCTGTATGAGGCCGGCTGAGAAACAATAGGAACCAATTTGGGGAGGGAGAGATGAAGAGGAGGCGGGTGATAGGTAGCCATGGAGATAGCTACCCCACTCTGGAAGAGTCTGGGGAAGGTGGAGGGCTTCCCCGAGGTTGAGAGGAGCCTCAGGCCAACGCTGGGGTGGAGAGGGGCGCATTGGGAGGTTTCTGGGCTTGGCAGGGCCAGTCGACTGGGCAACTGGAAGGATGAGATGATTGGTGTGCCCCTGCTTGGGAAGGTTGCTTGCTGGCATGGTGTTGGGGGACGAAATACGGACACGTCTCCGAGCCTGATGTATGTGCCCTCTGGGCGGTTGCAAGCAATGGGTGGGGAGGCAGGCTTCCGTGGCCAGCTCCGGACTCCCTTTCCATGCCCAGAGGAAATCTCTTCGAGAACGTTGGCTCATGGATGGGGCGGCTGAAGGGCCAGAGCGGCCAGAGGACTTGGCCTCCAAGGACCCACAGTCGCCTGAGGGACAGGCCCAGGCTCGAATTCGTAACCTGGAAGACAGCTTGTTTTCGTGAGTTGGGAATCCCTGCTTTTGAGCCATGCCCCAGCCTTTGATAGCCCTCAGAAATGGAGCAGGTTTAGTCTGGCCCGGCTTCCAGCAGCCCCCTTCTCTCCCTTAGACTCCAGTCACAGCTGCAGCTGTTGCAAAGTGCATCCACAGGTGCCCAGCACAGACCTGCTGGCAGGCCCGCCTGGCGCAAAGAGGTGAGCAGGGGCCAAAAGGGGTGAGGAGGAGGGGGTGTGGCCAGCAGCGTTAGAAGGCGACTCTGCAGTGGTGTGCTGTCTCTCTCAAATGCAGCCTCTGCCTTGGTGTGCAGTCAAACGTGCTCACTGTTTCTTTTTTTTTTTTTTGCCTCTCCCCCCCCCCCCGCTCACTGTTTCTTTACTCTTGCTGTGTAGCTGGAGTCCTCCTCTTTCTCTTGCTCCTAGGTCTCTCTTCTTTCCCCCAGATTTCTCTCTATTTATTCTCTTTGCCTGCTCTGCCTATCCTTTCTCCTGCCTCACTATTGACCATTCAACTCTTTATTAGACCGATCAGGTACTTTAGACAGGCAAAGTAACATTGTTTCACAGAGTTAAAAAATGCAACATAAAACAATGCAACATATCTTTGCATCACTAAACAAATGTCCCACAGCATTAACAAATGTTACACATCTTAGTAATATCTACAATGTAGCCTGGAACAATCCTCCAACCAAGCACTCTGGACAGAGCACACTCCGCTCTGTCCTCCTCCAGAAGCCTTGCCCAGGCTTATCTCACCAGAAACACTGTCACCCCTAGATTTCTCCCAGCTTCTTCCCATCACTGCTTCCTTCTCTCCCCTTCCATTGTGTAAGCGTTGTATATTTTTATTTGTTGTTACCTTTGTTAGTTTCCTTTTCCCATTGGAACTTAAAGTCTGATCGCATCAGGTCTTTTCAGGTTGGGGATATGACTCAGCTGTACTGCACTGGCCTTGTGTGCACCAGGCCCTGGGTTCCATCCCAGCCCTTCCTCCCTCCCCTCAAATCCTTTGTTTATGGTAGCCCCAGAAGCTGGCCAAGGAAGCATCAACATAGTATTGATTAAGCAGGTGGAGCTCAAACATCTGGGAGGTAGAAACAAGGGCCAATTTGACATTGTCTCTATTCCCCTTGCAGGGTCCCCGTCCTCTCTCTCAGCCCACCATGGAGGCAGGTCCTGTGGGTAAGTATTGGAATCCGGAGTCTAGGGTACAGACCTCCAGATCACTTGACCCAAAAGAATCTGGGATGAGGGTCCTCTTTGTCCTGACCCTCCCTTCCTTTCTCTCCCTTGATTCCCCCAGGCCTCACTGAAGTGGACAAAAGAACTTCCCTGCCAGCTGGTACAATGGACTTGTCCCCTGAGTCCCCCTCTGATCCCAGGGAGGAGCTCACTGAGGTTCTGCCAGCCTTGAGGCCATCCCCTGAGGCCATAGGGACCTCTTCAGAAGCCAATGGCCCCTGCCCTGGGCATAGCCCCCTCCCAGAGCAGCTGAGCCTAGGGGCAGCAAGTGTCACCAAGGCCAAAGGAGATGGTATGGTAGAGGTGGTTTGGGCTGGGCTCAGAGCCACTGAGAACAGTGCCACAGAGCCCACAGGCATGGAGCTGGAGGCTAAGGCAGAAGAAATGGTGCGGGAGGCTGTCGGGGCCAGGCAGGGCACCAGCAGCCCTGAGCTCCCCACTTGGGTGAAGGAGGGCAGGGGTGTGGTGGAGGTGGTCTGGGAGGGACTGGGAGGCAGTGATCCGGATGTCACAGGGGAGTCAGGCAGGAATGCAGAGGTGACAGAAATCAGTTCCCCAAGGCTCCAGGAGCAATTTGAGGCCGAAACTTCCAGAAAAGAGAAAGGTGCTTCTAGAGATAGTCCTGAGGGTGTTGGGCAGGGGGGCCCTGGAGGAGAGGAGGGGTCCTTCATTTGGGTAGAGAGAGTAGCCCTCAGTGAAGACTGGGAGGAGCTCTTGATGGAGGGCTTGGAAGCACCCCCAGGGGCAGGGTGCCTGGGAGCATCTGAAGCTTTGATGGGAACACAGCCAAGAGGGAGTGAAGAGTCCTGGGAGGTGGCGGGGAGAGAAGTGGAGAAATCAGAGGGCATGGAAGAGAGGGGAACGTCAGAAAAGCTCAGAGTAGAGAGGGATGGGGCGGCTGAGGCCCCAGAGCCAGCCCAGGGAAGAGAGGCAAGCCAGGCAGAAAAGGAGAAAAAGGACAGCGAGGGCCCCTTTCCAGCAGAGGGAGCAACAGATGAGGAAAAGCAGGAGGCGAAAGTGAAGGAAGATGAGGAGACCCTGAAAGTAGAAAAAGGGGGTGAGGAAGAGCCAGCCGCCACTGAGAAGCCATTGGTAGGAGAGACAGAACCGGAGGGCCCTCTTGAGCCAGAGAAAGATGGAAGTGAGAAGCCATCGGACCAGGGGAGAGATGGTGAGAGCTCATTGGACAGAGAGTCAAAAACAAGTGAGAAGCTTTTGGGAGGAGAAACAGGAGGTGAGGGCTCATTGGATGAAGAAACTAGGGGAAGTGAGAAGCTATTGGATAGAGAGCCAGGAGGCGGTGAGTCATCATCAGAGGCTGAGAAGACCCCTGGCGCCAAGGATGAGGTGAGTCCAGAAGAGGAAGGCAAATCGGACGAAGCCGCGGAGATTCTGGTGGAGGATGCCAGCCAGCCAGGAACCCCGCTTCTGGCCCAGGAGGAGCCCACATCAGAGGAGCATGAAGGACCAGTGGAAAAGACATCCAGGGAGCCTCAGCCCTGTGCTGAGAGTGAGGGTTCCCCCGGGGATGCCACCCCCCTCTTAGCAGAGACCCCAGCCCCGGAGCAGCCCGCGGAAGGCCAGCCACTGCTCCATCAGGTGTCCAGCACCAACCCCGGTGATCACCCCGCACCTACCTATGCACCTGCCCGGCAGCTCGAGCTAGCTGAGGCCAAAGAGGCTAGTGGTCCTAAGCAAAAGACGTGCCAGTGTTGTGTGGTCATGTGAGCCTATGCCTGCCGCCCAGCACCCTACTCCTCACAGCTACCTCGCTGCCTGGCATCCCGCAGAAGGCCCCAGGCACAGACAGGGTACCACAGGACTGGTGGTGGTACCCAGCAGCCAGCAGGCCCCTGTGTTTACTTACACCTGGGCTTTTAGACACCCTGCCCATTGCCTGTGGCCCTGACTCCCTTCTGCAATGAAGCCTTTATACTTGAAAATTAAATATTAAGGCACTCTGGCAGCCTGACTGTGTGTCTTTTTTGTTTTGTTTTTCGTTTTTTGAGGCAGAGTTTCTTTGTGTAGCCCTGGCTATCCTGGAACTCATTCTGTAGCCTTGAACTCAGAGACCACCTGTCTCTGCCTCCCAAGTGCTGGGATTAAAGGCATGCGCCACCACTGCCTGGCTCATCTATTTATTTATTTGTTTGTTTATATTTTATGTGTGTGAGTGTGCAGTGTTCACAGAGGCCACAAGAAGGTGTTGGATACTCTAGAACTGGAGTTACAGGTGATTCTGAGCCATGCTATGGGCGCTGGGAACTGAACCTGGGTCCTCTATAAGGCCAGGAAACCAAACTGTGGTCTTCCGCGAGAAAGCAAGGGCTCTTACATGCTCAGCCATTTCTCCGGCCCCTCGAATGTGCCTTTTGACATGAAACCACCCCCTTACACCTGCTTGGAAGTTGATCTTACTAGAATCAAAGGTTGTGACTGGGTGAGATGACACACACCTGTAGTCCCAGCCCTGGGGATGCTGCAGCAGGAGGATCACAGTTTGAGACCAGCCTTGGTCACCTATCAAGACTCTGATATAATAAAGAAAACAACAGCATGGTGGCACAGTCTTTAATGTTCATACGGGGAGACAGAACCAGGTGAATCTCTGTGAGTTCCAGGCCAGCCAAGGCTACGTAGTGAGATCCCATCTCAAAAACTGAAGAAAAGTCTAATCCAAGAAGGGACACAGCTCCCAGTCTGAAACAGAAAGGGCTAGAACCTAGGGGCAGGAGGCCCAAGGCCCAGCTCCTCCGGTGTGGGTAGGAAGTGTTTCTCATACCCAGAGTGAAGAGGGGCAGAGGCTGGAGGGGGCTCAGTGACAGCCTCCACCTCCTCCACTTCCAGGATGGGTCCGTCCTTGGGCAGCTGGGGCAGGTCCACCTCCTGGGGAGATGGAGGCTTGAAACTCCGTCCGTCCCTCCCACTTGCCCAAGTATCCCCCAGTTGGAGAGTGGTGCTCCCACAGTTGGCACTTTCTCACCTTTATGTAAGGCTGCCCAGAATTGCTGTTGGCAGGGTCAGGAACCCTCTCCCAGATCCACTGGGGAAACAACTTGTGTCGTTGGTGGAGGCACCTGGCCAGCAGGGACCCAGTGCAAACATTTTGATAGAATCCATGAATGTCCTGAGCCCCGAGGCCACCCATCCAAGGCCTAACTGCTGAACCCCCCACCAGGGTAGAGACCCCATACCTGAAAGCCTTACCTGGTAGTGGCCAGGCTCAGGCCACAGCCCATCAGGAACAAGCCCCACAGGGACAGGACCCAAGGCAGAATCTTCCAGCTGACCTTGTTATCTGTGGGTTGGGAGGATAGGTGGGACTGTGCAGCCATCTTGAACAAGGAGTCTGGGAATGGGTGGGGCTGAAGAGGCAGCCATTCTGAAGAACGGGGTGAGACTTAGGGCTGTAGAGGTGTGCTAACAGGCAAAGTCAGGGTTGGGGGGATGCTATTCCAGACAAACATTGCTGGATAATACAACATCATTTAGGAGAAGCAAAGTACCCTGAGGCAGACTTGGAGTGTGGTCCTGGGTTCCATCCTCAGTGCTATCCTATACATAATCCTCTCAGTCAGAAACTACCCGACACTGAAGCCTGTGTTATGACTTCAAGACACCCCTAGCCTGAAGTGGGCAGGCAGCCCCATCCCCCACCTCATACCTGGTAGGTGAAGCCAAAGGCTGGGACCCGGTGGGCCCTGTCCTGCAACAGTGGACACCATCACCCACAGCTCGAAGGAACCCCAGTGAAGGCTTGGCAGAGTGACAGTCTGAGTATCACTGCTCACTGAAGGACACAACCAAAGACATTGGGGACCAGTGAGATCAAGCCCTGGGCCCTCTACACATGCTCTTTCCTCTGTGGCTTTTATGTGACGTTTATTATTTTCTGGGGGGTGTTCATATGCCTGCCACGGCACACACAAGGAGGTCACAGGCCTCCTTGCCACCCGTCCTACCACAGGGGTCATCTCAGGTCTGTAAATGTTGTTCAGTGTCACTTCCTTAACCAATCTTCTGACCTTTCGTTTAGAACGGACCCTCGTTCTATGCACAGCTCTCATCCCCATGTGGCTGATTAGATGCTATCTTAGTGTCTGTGAATCTTCCATTGGGAAGTCAGATGAGTGCTGCTTCTAGTGCGCAAGGCCCTGAGTTTGATCCCCAGCCCCGAGGAAGGAAGGAAGCACGGAGGAAGGGAATGGTCAAGGACACAGGGGTGTGTGGCTCGGAATGCAATTTCCAGGTCAGGCTGAGGTCAAAGGAGACCCTGTCTCAACAGACAAAAAAAATTTCAGGTTTCACAAATCCACTGTAACCACATGTGCACAGTATTTGGTAAAGACACACTTTCTGATTGAGGAACAAGAGGACATGCTGATGTCCCTGGAGTGTCCCCAATGCTGACTGTTTACTTAGTCCCTGTGTGATGGCCTAAGCGTGGAGGTCATGTGGGAGTTGGTTCTCTCCTTCTGCCATGTGGGTTCCAGGGATTGAATTCAGGTGGTCGGACTCGCGGCAGGGGTGTTGTTTTGGTGAGCTATTTCACAGACCCATGAGTCAGGTTTTGTAACAAGTTCAGATAACTTTTATCGTTAGGGAAAAAGAATAACAGTTTTGTTTCTTCAGCGATGGGGATAAAACCCAGGGCCTTGTACATGCTGGACGCTTGCTGAGCCACGACCCAGCCCCTCACTGGGGAACTCCCCAACAGAGTAACAATGCTTTCAGAAAGGAGTCTGTTCTTTTAGATTTTTTCTTATGAACATGGTGGTGGTGAATGTCTGAATGTCTGCCTGTGCACCATGTACATGCAGTGCCAGTGGAGACCAGAAGAGGGTCAAATCCCCTGAGGCTGGAGATCAGAGTCTCAGGCTATGTAGGTGCTGGGAACGGAACCCAGGACTTCTGCAAGAGCAATCAGTGTTCTTAACTGTTGAACCTCTCTCCAGCCTCAGGAATTTGTTATTATAATAAAACATATTCTATCTAAAGGGTAACAGAAGGAAATAAAAATCACGTGCAATCCTACAAGCCTTGTTGACATTGAGAGAAATTTCTTGGCATATTTGAGCCTTGGTTTTGCTTAATGTTGGGCCTCTTCTCAAAAAACAAAGCCATCTCAGAATCTGTAATCTTTTTTATACTTGTCACTTAATGAAATATGACAGGCATTCATCACTGTCATCGAGGATAGTCTGGAGCTTCTGTCTTTAATGTCTCATCACTAGCCAAGACCTATTGTCCTCTGGGAACTTGGTGACAGAATTCCCAGTAGCTGAGGATGTAGGGACAGGATGGGTGACAGGAAGGGACAGAGGAAGGGACAGGAGGCTGGACACTCACCATTCATGCAGACAGTGGGGACGGCTCCACCCTGTATGCACAAGGTGTAGTGTGTGGCCCAGCCTCGGAGCTTGTGTCTTGGTACCTCTCCCCATGCTACCACAGGTGTCCCTGGGGGGTCGTCTTGGAGTAGCCAAACTGCTGGCCCAGCAAGGGGTACTGTGAAGAAACCTAGTGTATCAGTATACTGCAGTTCCATGAGGTGCACCCCCATTCTCGAGTGCCACTTCTTACCTAACTCCTCAATAAATGCCCAAACTGGGGGTGCGGCAGCTAACCCCCCAGGGAACACTGCAGTCACTCTAATTCGATAGGGGACCCCTCCTTCGAAATCTCCTAGGGGAATAGGAAGAAGAGAACATTAGCGTGGGTCTCCCTCCCCCATGCAGGGCTTACTTGTAGGAGCTATCCCTTGGCCCCTGGAGGAGGCTACTCACAAAGCTCCAGTGAGACTTGAGACTAGAGGGAAAAGAAAAGCAAGCTGTAAACAGCACAGGAAGGGGCAAGTTCCAGCTGTGTGCAGTGACTTGTCCCGTGGCACTCTGAGGCTGGGCTACCCAGAGAGACTCTGTCTCCAGAACCTAAAAGGCTGGCCTGAGAGTGCGACTCAGGGGGTAGAGAGCCCGCCGAGGGCTTGTGCAAAGCCCTAGTTAGGCTCTCAATAAAAGCAGTGTGTCTCTTGACCATTGAGTCATTTCTCCAGACTCTTATTTTATTTTTGATACAGAGTCTTACTATAGAGTCCTGGCGGGCCTTGACCTCATAGAGACTGGTCTCCTCTGCTCCTGAGTGCTAAGATTAAAGGCATTGGTGTGGGGGCACATGCCTGTAATCCCATCACTTGGAGGGTGGATACAGGAGGATCAGAAGTTCAGGGTCACCATTGGCTGCTCAATTCAAGGTCAGCCTGGGATACATGAGACTATCTGGGGAGAAAAAGAAAGAGTAAAAACTAAAATAATATCTGGGTGTATGATACACACCTTTAGTTCAGGCCAGCCTGATCTACACAGGAAGTTCCAGCCAGGCAGAGTTGCACAGTGAGACATTGTTTCAAAAATGAAAAAAAGGATTGAAGGGCTGCAGAGATGGATCTGTGGTTATGAGCACTGGCTGCTCTTCTAGAGGACACAGGTTCAGTTCCCAGCACCCACATGGCAGCTCACAACCATCTGTAACTCCAGTTCAGGGGACCTAGCATCTTCTTCTGGTCTCCATGGGTACTGTATGCACTTGAAACATACTTACATTCACGCAAAACACCCATACACAAAAATAACTTTTTGTTTTGTTTTGAGACACGGTTTCTCTGTTTAACATCCCTGACTATCCTGGAACTCACTCTGTACATCAGGCTGGCCTCAGACTAAGAGATCCACCTGTGTCTGCCTCCTGAGTGCTGGAATTAAAGGCGTGCGCCACCACCACCTGGCACACATAGCCAGCATTCAAGAGGCAGAAGCAGGTGGATCTCTATGAGTTCAAGGCCAGCCTGGTCTAAGATTAGTTCCAGGACAGCCAGAAATATATATTGAGACCCTGTAACAAAAATAAAGTAAAATAAGGAGCCAGACATGGTGGCACATACCTTTAGTTTCAGCACTGGGAGACAGAGTAGGTGAGTTCCAGGCCAGCCTGGTCTACAGAGTGAGTTCCAGGACAGCCAGGGCTACACAGAGAGACCCTGTTTTGAAAAAACCAAAAACAAGCCGGGTGTTGGTGGCACACGCCTTTAATCCCAGCACTCAGGAGGCAGAGGCAGGCGGATCTTTGTGAGTTCCAGGCCAGCCTGGTCTACAGAGTGAACTCCAGGACAGCCTGCAAAACAAGAGAAACCCTGTCTCGAAAAACCAAAAAAAAAAGAAAAAGAAAAAAGAAAAAAAAAAGAAAAAAGAAAAAGGAAAAAAGAAAAAAAAAGTAAAGAAAAACCCAAAAACAATAAAAAAAGAAAATTAAATAAAACAAGGATCTGGAGAGATACCTCCATGGCTTAGATAACACATTGTACTTACAGAGAGCCCAGGCTGGGTTTCCAGCATCATGTATGTAACTCTAGCTCCAGGAGCTTCTGAGTATACCTGCACACATGTGCACACACACACAGACACACAGCACCATGTGCACACACACAGACACACAGCACCATGTGCACACACACAGACACACAGCACCATGTGCACATACACACAGACACACACCCATGGGTACACACACACAGACACACACCCATGTGCACACACACAGAAACACACCCATGTGTACACACACACAGACACACACACGCATGTGCGCACACACAGACACACACACCCATGTGCACACACACACAGACACACAGCACCCATGTGCACACACACAGACACACACACCCATGTGTACACACACAAACACACAGCACCCAAATGCACATACACACACAGACACACAGCACCCAAATGCACATACACACACAGACACACAGCACCCATGTGCACACACACACAGACACACAGCACCATGTGCACATACACACAGACACACACCCATGGGTACACACACACAGACACACACACCCATGTGCAAACACACAGACACACAGCACCCATGTGCACACACACAGACACACAGCACCCATGTGCACACACACAGACACACACACCCATGTGCACACACAGACACACACACCCATGTGCACACACACAGACACACACCCATGTGCACACACAAAGACACACACACCCATGTGCACACACATACAGACACACAGCACCATGTGCACACACACAGACACACAGCACCATGTGCACACACACAGACACACACACCCATGTGCCCACACACACAGACACACAGCACCCATGTGCACACACACAGACACACAGCACCATGTGCACATACACACATACACACACACCCATGTGTACACACACACAGACACACACCCATGTGCACACACACAGACACACACACCCATGTGCACACACAGACACACACCCATGTGTACACACACATACACACACGCCCATGTGCACACACACAGACACACACACCCATGTGCACACACACAGACACACAGCACCATGTGTACACACACAGACACACACACCCATGTGCACACACACAGACACACACCCATGTGTACACACACAGACACACACACCCATGTGCACACACACAGACACACACACCCATGTGTACACACACAGACACACAGCACCATGTGCACATATACACACAGACACACAGCACCATGTGCACACACACAGACACACAGCACCATGTGCACATACACACAGACACACACACCCATGTGTACACACACAGACACACAGCACCCATGTGCACACACACAGACACACAGCACCCATGTGCACACACACAGACACACAACACCCATGTGCACACACAGACACACACACCCATGTGCACACACACAGACACACACACCCATGTGTACACACACAGACACACAGCACCATGTGCACATATACACACAGACACACAGCACCATGTGCACACACACAGACACACAGCACCATGTGCACACACACACAGACACACACACCCATGTGTACACACACAGACACACAGCACCCATGTGCACACACACAGACACACAGCACCCATGTGCACACACACAGACACACAACACCCATGTGCACACACAGACACACACACCCATGTGCACACACACACAGACACACAGCACCATGTGCACACACACACAGACACACAGCACCATGTGCACACACACAGACACACAGCACCATGTGCACACACACAGACACACACACATATGCACACACACAGACACACACACCCATGTGTACACACACAGACACACAGCACCTAAATGCACATACACACACAGACACACAGCACCCATGTGCACACACACACAGAGACACACAGCACCCACGTGCACACACACACAGACACACACACCCATGTGCACACACACAGACACACACACCCATGTGCACACACACAGACACACAGCACCCATGTGCACACACACACAGACACACAGCACCCATGTGCACACACACACAGACACATACACCCATGTGCACACACACAGACACACACACCCATGTGTACACACACAGACACACAGCACCCAATTGCACATACACACACAGACACACAGCACCATGTGCACACACAGACACACAGCACCCATGTGCACATACACACAGACACACACCCATGTGCACACACACAGACACACACACATATGCACACACACAGACACACACACCCATGTGTACACACACAGACACACAGCACCTAAATGCACATACACACACAGACACACAGCACCCATGTGCACACACACACAGAGACACACAGCACCCACGTGCACACACACACAGACACACACACCCATGTGCACACACACAGACACACACACCCATGTGCACACACACAGACACACAGCACCCATGTGCACACACACACAGACACACAGCACCCATGTGCACACACACACAGACACATACACCCATGTGCACACACACAGACACACACACCCATGTGTACACACACAGACACACAGCATCCAAATGCACATACACACACAGACACACAGCACCATGTGCACACACACAGAGACACACACACCCATGTGTACACACACAGACACACAGCACCATGTGCACACACACAGACACACAGCACCATGTGCACATACACACATACACACACACCCATGTGCACACACACACACAGACACACAGCACCATGTGCTCACACACAGACACACACACCCATGTGCACACACACAGACACACACCCATGTGCACACACACACAGACACACACACCCATGTGCACACACAGACACACAGCACCATGTGCACATACACACACACCCATGTGCATACACACACAGACACACAGCACCATGTGCTCACACACAGACACACACACCCATGTGCACACACACATACACACACACCCATGTGCACATACACACAGACACACAGCACCCATGTGCACACACACACAGACACACAGCACCCATGTTCACACACACAGCACCCATGTGCTCACACACAGACACACAGCAACCATGTGCACACACACAGACACACAGCACCATGTGTACACACACAGACACACACACCCATGTGCACACACACACAGGCACACAGCACCATGTGTAGACACACATACACACACACCCATGTGCACACACACACAGACACACAGCACCATGTGCTCACACACAGACACACACACCCATGTGCACACACACATACACACACACCCATGTGCACTCACACACAGACACACAGCACCATGTGCACACACACAGACACACAGCACCATGTGCACACACATAGCACCATGTGC